CATGAGAGGGAGGAGGGTCAGAGGGAGAAGCAGACTCCCTGCCGAGCAGGGAGCCCGATGCGGGACTCGATCCTGGGACTCCAGGATCATGACCTGAGCCAAAGGCAGTCGCTTAACCAACTGAACCACCCAGGCGCCCTTAAGTGGTATTTATTTTAACTATCACGTGCTTCCCATTTAATTCTGTGAATAGGTTGGTCACTGCTTTAGCCCGCAGTCTGTTCTTTATTCGCTGTCATCCTTTTGTTCTCTCTCTTCATGTGTATCTTCTAGTCCAAGAAAGTCAGTATAATCACCAGCCATTTGTGTTATAGAATTACTAAATATTTTATAATCCTGAAAGGCTAGTGTAATTGGAGGAAGAAATGGGAGTTGAGGTTACTGTACAGAAACTCTTTTCCTTAACAGATACTTTTATTTAAAATATTTTCCCAGAAAAAATAAAAAATAAATAAAATATTTTCCTGGGAGTTCCCCTCTACTTGCTAGATGAGATGCTGCCCAGTTCATGAATCATTTAATAAAGCCAATTAGACCTTCAGAATTTTTAAAAACAAAAAATAAATACTTTCCCAATAACCTTAGGCTTAGAATAAATTCTACTCATTATTATCTGTGGGTATGATATACTTACTAGTCTATACGGGATGTGTTTTAAGTTTCTGTAGGATATCATTTTTTTCCCTCATTGGTTCTTTTTTCACCTTCAAATTTAAAGTAATGAAGGTTTGTATGCAGAAAGTAGCTGTGAAATAGCTATTTGGAGTGGGGTGCATTTCCCTAGACATTATTCTAAGAATAAGAATAACATCCTTATTCAAAGATTCTGCTATGGAATCAGGTTAATGGGTTTCTTATTGCTAAGCTGGGATCCTAACCACTATTTATTATACATCTCTGGGTGAAATTTTTTTGTGTTCTAAGAAAGTTACATATTTTTTAAAAAACTGTTGACATAAAACTCATTCCAAAATTGAAGACTAATTCAAGTGTTTCTCCAGGAATTACATACTGGATATTTTTATTTTGTACTTGAGGGCAATTGCTAACTAGTCCCTTTAAGTATGTAATTTTCAGTAACACTTAATGTTTCTTACATTTATTCTTAGATTTTAAGTTCTGTTTAAAATTGTAGAATGAGTTTAGATTTCAAATTAAGTTGCTATATTTTATCTAAACATCTGTCAGCCAGGAGTGTGACTAAGGGAGAAGAATCCTTTTAATTATTATTATAGTGGTAAAATTGTTTCTGTGCTTTGGAATAATCCATACCAAAAAGACAAAGCAAAAAAACTGGTAATCATCCAGCAACAAAACCTTCTCCTATCTGTTCCACAAAACCTGAGCAAAGAGCTGACAGATAGTGATACTTTATCAAACTTTATCAGATACCATTGAAAAGATATAAATTCCAGAGTTGATACTTACTGAAAGAGAATACCCAGAAGATCTCTCTGATAGGACTCACTGCTGCTACCATGAAACTAAAATGTTTGTGTTTTTATTTTAGTGACATTGTATGCCTCCTGCATTCTCCTGGGAGTGTTCTTGAATAGCAGTATACCTATATTTTTTGAGCTTTTTGTGGAAACTGTCTACCCAGTTCCAGAAGGAATTACATGTGGAGTTGTCACTTTTTTAAGTAATATGTTCATGGGAGTACTTTTATTTTTTCTCACATTTTATCACACAGGTAAGAAATTTGACTTTTTATTTCCTATCTAAATGTGTTACCAAAGAGGTTTGGGGCACTGATGTATAGGGAATTTATATGGAGAATTCTCACCAAAGCAAATAACTTTATTTGAGCTTTCATGTGCCAGTAAAAAAAAAAAAAAAATCCTCAGTTGTTTTTCTTGAAATGCATCCTAAGCCTGATCTAGTGCACGCTCACTCCCCAGAGTTTCTGATTTCATGAACCTGGACTGGGGCCCTGCATTTGTATTTTTAAAAGCCCCTCAGGTGATTCTAATATGCAGTTTCTTTGAGAACCACTGGTATATTGCTTTTTAAAAGGTACTTAGAATCTACTGTCTTAACATAAGATATAAATTAATGCCTGGGGTATATTTGTAGTCACCCAAGGAGTGTGTAGAATGTATAGAACAGCTCTTTCCAATGGAACTTTTTATGATGATAGTGATGCTCTTTGTACCGTCCAATACAGTTCCACTAGCCACATGAAACTAGTGCAGGTAAGGAATTGGATTTCTTTAATTTCATTTTAATTAATTTAAGTTTAAATAGCTGCATGTGGCTAGTGGCTAGTGAATTTGTTAGCACAGGGAAAGAGTGAAAAGAAGGTTGAAGTGAGAACCCAGGAGTACACCTTGGAAGAAAAGGGAGACCCTTACAAGAGAGAGAGGGATGGGGTCCTGAACTCAGCTGGAGGAGTTAGGCTTGGACAAAAGGAGTTAGGAGAGGAGGCAGCGTGCGTGGGCACAGAGGCAGACACGTTTCCTGGGGAGATCATTGAAGGAGCTCTTTGATGGCACCAGCTTCTGCTTGTAAGCCAATCTGTTAAGAACTGGTGGGAAGATAGTGGAGGAAGGGCTTACAGAGAGAATGAAGCGTTAAAATAACCTTTGAGGGGTGGGAGGAGACACTATGGGAACAGCTGGAAAGGTTGCTAGGCATGTTGAAGGCAGGCCTGTCTGATGCTGGGGTCCATGGGTTTGTAGTGATTCCGTTTTGCATAGTTGTTTGGTTATCTCTGATATCCTTTCTTCTGTCTAAAATCTTTCTTACTGTTTCAGAAAATTTGAGTATAATTTTCTGGTATTCTTTTTTTCATGTTAAAATATAAGGACTAATACTTGTGATTCTTGAATGTAGAACTTTTATTAATTTCTACTAGGCTTAGATCCTATTTTATTTCCTCATCTTAATCTATTACTAACCCTTTTCCCTCATTGCTATTCTCTTAACTGCTCATCAAATACCAGTAAATTTGGATAATTTGTACATGGAAGAATCTAATTTGTAAGATTCAAGTGTAAGAAATGCTCTAAAATGTGGCAATCCAAGAGTCCTAATTGTTTATAGGAAACTTTCCAACAGGATTAGAATTGAAATAATAGCCATGATAACCGGCTTGACTGGAAAATAAATTTTTGACTTTTCAAAGCTGATGGAACAGTCTGGCCTGGGTTTTGGACAACTTTTGGTATAGCATTTTCACCTAACAGCAAAAAGCATCTGAATGATATATTAACTTAATATATCATCTGTAATTAACAACAGATTATTTCCATCAATCAGTAATGCAGATAAAGTAGGTTTTAAACGTTCCTAAACTTGATCTAAGTTGAGTTTCTCATTTGGAGGAGAGAGATTAATGAAGTCAGCCCACTGTTTACAGTCCCCCTGGAAACGTGTTTCCATCAGAGAAAATGCCATCAGGAGGTGTTGGAATAAGGCCTTTGCTTCCAATGTGTTTTCTAAAACAGAACAAACTATTCTAAATAAAATAAACAATTACTGATTACTACACATCAGCTTTCATCCACTTCAGTATATCACAGTTGAAATTAAGAGGCTCGATGCCTCTCTCTTGCATGATAAAGTGTGAGGGATGGCTGTGTTGCCCCTTCAGGTGATAGAAACAATTTTCCAGCTCATGGGCACAGCTTTGCTAAGTGGTCCCTGCAGCCTGGCTAGAGTGTGGTTTTTTCTGTCTGCTGGAAATAGAGTTTTGTCCTCCCAGTATATAAAAACAGTAGATGCCAAATAATGTTATTCCCTGATAAACCTCTTGCATATGGTCTCTAAAGTATAGCATATATTTATTAATCTGTTTAAGGCAGAGAATACCCCTCCACTGTGTGAGTATGGAAGAGCCCAGCGTACTCCTTACCATTTTGCTTTGCCGGTAGAGTGTGTCCCTCCGCGAGTCCACCCTCAGCTTTCGATCTGTTCAACAGAGATGAGTCTAGTGCGAGTGAGCATCAGTAGGTGCTCACCACCACCACCCCCATTTTGCAGATCCTAGTGACCAGATCCAAGCAGATATTTTTGTTTCTCTGGCATAGGTAGCAGAACAAACACTTAGCAGTATTTCTGCTAATTCCTATCTCACTGATATAATCAAGGATCTATCTAGCTGGGGGGAAAAAGCTTCCTTCTTTTTGGTTGGTTTCTGATCACATGTTTGTATACATATCTGTGTCGATGTTAAAGGCTTATGCCTCATCTCCATGATTATTGTGGAAAATGAGACGTTAATAGTTAATTTTAATCCAGCAAGATGACTTTCAGGAAAAAAAAAAAATCTCAGTACATTTTGACATTGGAGAAAGTTAATCAGAAGGTATGTGTGAAAGAGCCTAGGCCAGGTCAGTCACTGGCACCCACCAGATGTTTGTCTTATTTCCTTCTAGATAATTCGCTGCTTGCTAGTAGGAATTTAAATATCTAGGCTTCCATTTTAAAGGAATGCTTTTACCTGTTTATGTGTGAGTGTGTGTAATAAATGCACACAGATATGCCCACATCTCCCTAAGGCCAACGTCACTAGAACGATGGATGACAACCTTGTTGAGGCTCTTTCACGTAGGATTAGCCAATCTTGCCCCAAAAATCCTGCCGCAGAAGCCTACACACCTTGTAACTGAGGTTCGAGGATATATACGCGACAAATCTAAAAATTTTGCGGAGTTATTTCCTAAAAATAACTTTGAGTTCCACAGCCTACTACCCTAAACATTTCTTGGGATGAAGGAATTCCCTTCCATTACAGCCAGCATTCAAACGCCATAATTCCATCATGTTAAAACTTGAAAAACTCACCCAGAAGTTAGTTAGGTATCAGGATTCAGTTCTGTCAGCTACATGATTGGAAGGCCTGGTTTTTAATCATCACGAAGATCTGTGGTTTCGTAGGGTCACTCCTCAAAGAAGTACTAAACTTCCTGACTAGAGTTTATGTCCCCACAATGTGACTGTGTCAGAGATAATTTTTCAGGGCTGTACAGACTAACCCCAAAATGACCCCATCAGAATGGCTTGCCTAGCAAGAAAGCCTCTGCTGGTGGTTGGCTTGCAGATTATGGCTGTTACCGTCGTGGATGGTGGGCATCACACGAGCTTCGATGCCAGGTGCCATTGGCTTTTTGGAGCCCAGGGTCACAGGATCTCCCACATCCTGTTCTCTCTCTGTTTGGGGTGCTTGGAAAGTGTGAGAAGTTTCTTAGAGTTTTTCTGTCTTGGGTTTTTCAAGGTCACTTTAAAACACACACACACACACACACTGTTACTTGCTCCCTAATACAGGCATATTTGTAAAACTGAGTTGCTTCCAATAATGTTTGCTTGGAGAATCTCTTGAGTTATTGCAGACAGTACAGTGATACTTTATCCTAATAACTTCACATATAAAATCAATGGGAGGGTGCTGTTAATGTTCTTTATATGCTCTGAAATATATTCTAATGTTCTATTTTTTGTTTGTAACTTGTTCTGAAGTTTGTATTGTTTGCTGTTTTTTTGTTCTAGAAGCTTTGCAGCAGGTTTTGGCTAAATGCACTAAAGGTTTTTACCTCAGGCCTTTCATTTTGAAGTAGCTGACCATGAATTTGAGGTTGCGTTGTGGCTCAGAAGATTCAGGGGCTTGGCTGAAGAGTGAGGCATTGACTGTTGGTTACCAGAACAGGTTCACCAGATGTGGACTAGTAAGGAGTAATTTTATATGTAGGGAGTAATTACACATGTTACGGTCAGATCTATTGGGTAGTTAATGCGAGTGAAAGGAGCAGGGCATTACACCATGAAATCATGAGCTCACGTGGCTCCTCTTGAATGAAAATGGAGACAGTTTTGTTAAATCATCATAATTCTGCTTAAATCCCCAAAGAAGGTAGGAGGTTGGTTCTGGAGGGTAGCATCTGGGACCAGACAAGTACTTCAAGGTGGTAAAAACTGAAAGCATGGCATCATTAAAGGGAAAGATGTGAAAAGTGTAATAGTGCTTCTGGAAGAAAAAGGTGAGAGGATGAGCGAAATCCTAATTAGTTCAGTCCCAAAAGAGCATCACCATTTGGTGCAGAGTCCACTTCACCAAGTAAAATGTAGGTACCTGTCCAAACTGTAAAATTAGCAAAGACTACTCCAGATGTAGTGTAGATATAATAAATGACAGAGAACCAGCAGAAATATAGAAAGAGGCAGATTTAAAGTATGGATTTGTATTTTCTCTAGTGAAAGGAAAAAAAAAAAAAAGGAATACTAGAAAACTGTGCTCACTTTAAAAAGGTATAATGGTTGGGGCACCTGGGTGGCTCAGTCGGTTAAGCATATGCTTTCAGCTCAGGTCATGATCTCGGGGTCCTGGGATCAAGCCCTGAGTTGGACTCCCTGCTCAGCAGGGAGCCTGCTTCTCCCTCTCCCTCTGCTCCTCCCCACTGTTCATACTCTCTCTCTCTCTCTCAAATAAATAAATAAAATATTTTTTTTAAAAAAAGGTATAACGGTTAAGAATAAGAAAGTTTCAATGAATCAGGACCTTGTTGGTTCAATTATGTCATATGACACCAGGCTCAGAAAGGACAGCAGGTGACTTTGCTACTGCAAAGTCATATTAAACGTTTAAGCAAGCCATTTCCTGCTTATTAGAGCACCTAAGCTGTGGATGATGTGAATGGTTTGCAGTGGGGAAATGTAGAGATGCATATCTTTTTGCCTTCTGAAAAGCCCAATAATTTCAAATAACACTTG